TGTGAAAGTCATCCCCATCCTTTTTCACATGCATGTGGCACTCTAGCAGGCCATTCTAGACTTCCTAATCCTAATCAACAACACTACTGAAGTGCTAACTCTGAGGATCTGATGTCAGTAACAGATGGAAGATCAGCTGAACTAGGATTTCAGCAGCTAAAATCAGAGCTGCCTTCCGCTTTGAATCTCCATTTTTCTTTCCACATGGGGTAGGAGGGATGGCAGAGAGGGAAAGTTGTCTTCTTCCAATGGAAAGACACTGTGGTCTTCTGAAAGCTTTGTAGCTACAAGGAGGAGGAGAACTTATGGAATGATGAACCGAGGAGTGATTTGTGTTCCTGAAAGTGAAAAACCAGTTTACCTCCAAATCTTATGATCTGTGCCATCATCAAACCTGCTCAGTGTGAACAGAGAGGCATGGCACCCATTTGGGAACCATGGTCAAGCTCTTTGTGGAAGCAACCTGTCTACTTTTCTTTTTCTTTTTTAATCCATTAAAATGATGCCACTGTGGGAATTGCTGACCTGTCACATCATCCTAGGTCTGTTCCCGTGCAATTGGCGTCTTTCCAGCCCATCCTTAAGTCTTTTTTCCGAATTATTTCAACTAGAGTACTTCCAGGAGTCCAGTTGGAGTGCACACAAAAGCCGTCTCTGCGGTAAATCCAGCTGCCATGCAAGTTCAAAACATTTGGGTCAGGTTTTGCACCTGAATTAGATGATTTAAAATGTTTTTTTCCCAGGATGAATAATGCACCGACTATTAAACAAAAAGGAAGTGACAGCTGCTCTCTCCAGATAAATGCATTGAGCAAGGTGCAGTATAGTGAGCTCTTTGCCAGACCAGCAGAAATAGCATCTCTTCCTTTATAGATACAGGAAGTTATGGCCATTGTAGATCCTGCTTATTAAGGACAGATGGGAGGGGGAGGCCTCTACACAGTCTTCCCCATCCCAATTGATATTGATGTTCTACAGAAGTTTGGACAGGAGAGCTTTCTGCTCAACTTTCCACTTAAAATCATCCCTCTCCAAATACAGGAAGTCGCTGACTCACGAGAACAATTGAGCCCCAAATATTCTGTTGTTAAGTGAGACATCTGTTAAGTGACTTTTGCCTCCCTTTATGACCTCAGTGGCTCAGTGGCTAAGATGCTGAGCTCGTAGATCAGAAAGGTTGGCAGTTCGGCGGTTCGAATCCCTAGCGCCGCATAACAGAGTGAGCTCCCATTCCTTGTCCCAGCTTCTACCAAACTAGCAGTTCAAAAGCACGTAAAAAATGCAAGTAGAAAAATAGGGACCCCTTTGATGGGAAGGTAACAGCGTTCCATGTGCCTTCAGTGTTGAGTCATGCTGGCCACATGACCATGGAGACGTCTTTGGACAGCGCTGACTCTTTGGCTTTCTAACAGAGATGAGCACTGCCCCCTAGAGCCAGAAACAACGTCTTGCCACAATTGTTACGTCAATTACTGCAGTTGATAAGTTAGTAACCCAGTTGTGAGTTGAACCTGGCTTCCCTCTTGACTTCACTTGTCAGAAGGTCGCAAAGGGGACACAGCAACGTGACCTTGGGAGGCAGCAATGGTCATAAGTATGAACTGGTTGCCAAGCATCCAAATTTTGATCACAGGAGCATGGGGATGGTGCAAAGGTCGTAACTGTGAAAAACGGTTGCAACGGTCCCATTTTTCAGTGCCTTTGTACCTTTGAATGGTCACTAAATGAACTGTTGGAAGTCAAGAACTACCTGTCCATCTCACTCAAAAGACAACTTCCAGTCCAAATTGTTAGGTGTTCCTTCTCGGATAGAATTGCTGCTGACAATGTGAGCATGGTATTTTAGGTGCTTCCAGAAAGTCTATTCTTTCGTGAAAGCACCAATAAAAGATCAGAAGTAATTCGTACATAAGTTGTCACGGTAATAGTAGTACTTTTAATTGCTAAGCGGCCCACAGCTCAGTGGTTTGAAAGCTAAACGCAAACAGGGGTGGGCTTCAAATTTTTTAGCAAAGGGTCGTCTGCCTAGTTGCTGGATGGGCATGGCTATGGTGGGTGTGGCCTAGTTGACCTCCTTCACCATGGCGGTGTGTGTGTGTGTGTGTGTTTGCCCTCCCCAGACTGCGGAGGCCCATTCCCAGCCTTCCCGAACTTCTAGGAGTCCCGTTTTTTCGTCGTCCCTGAGCGTCTGTGTGCGCCCTGCACTTACCTGCATCCAAAACAGGCCACGTGGGGTTCTTGGGAGGGGCGGGGTGGGGTGGGTGGGGCCAGCCAGGAGTGGGATTTGGGGGTTCCCCAAACTGCACAGAATCTTAGCTAGGGGGTCTCCTGAACCTCTGCAAAACCCCAGCAGCCCATCCCTGAATTCAAAGCACCTGAGGGAAGATTGATCCATCACCAAGCAAAGTGGAGGGGATCAATTGGACCCACAGAACATAGAAACATAGGGCTGGAAGGAACCTTAGAGGTCTTCTAGTCCAACTCCCTACTCAAGGCAGGAGACCTTATACCATCTTAGTCAAAGAGTTTGTCCAGTCTGTTCTTGAAAACCTCCAGTGATGAATGTCCCAAAGGTGCTTTTTCAGGAGGCAACTGGACTTCCTTGGTTTTTTTTTCCGAAGACGTTTCACTTTTCATCCGAGAAGCTTCTTCAGATCTGACAGAATGGTGGAGAATGGAAGGATTTATACTCATTGAAGACAGCTGGTCATTTGCATCCTTTTAGAGGGTCCTTGGGGCCACTTGGAGGTTTATCTGTGTCCTCAGGGTCACCTGAGTGGTGCTGCTGGTTCCTGCAATTTTTTCCTCTGGAAATCCATTCCTACTCCCATACCATTCAAAGGGTGTTCATCCCAAATTGCATAGCTAAAAGTCTGTAGAGATTCTCAGTCATCCAGGTCTATACAGACCTCCATTGATAAAGTACCCACAACTCCAGGAAGTAAGCTATTCCACTGAGTAACTGTTCTCACTGTCACAAAATTTCTCCTTACTTCTAAATTGGATCTCTCTTTAATGACCTACCTTCCAACCATTCCTTCTTGTCTTGCCTCTGAATAAGGTTGATCCTCTCTTCTCTGTGACACCCTCTCAAGTATTGGAAGACAGTTATCATGACCCCCCAATCCTTCTCTTCAATAAGGAAGACGTACCTAGGTCCCTCAACCATTTGTCATACAATTTAGCATCCAGATCCTTTACCACTTTGGTTGCTCTTCTCTCCACACTTCCCCAGGGTCTCAGCATCCTTTTTGTATCATGATGACCAGAACTGGATGCAGTATTCCACATGTGTCATATAAAGCAGTATTATCATATTATTATTATGCCATGATCTTGATGTTATCCCTCTGTTGATGAAACCTAGCGTTGTGTTGGCATTTTTGGCAGCTGCAGCCCAGTACCGGCTCATGCCTAAGTGTTAGTCCATTAGACACCCAGTCCCTTTCACCAACCCAATAAGTGTGGTCCATTATGATGAACAGTAAGAGCTTAAGATTTTGGTTTGCTCCTGGGGAGGAAAGCTAGGGCAATAAAAATTAAATTAAATTAAAGCACCAGGGCTATGTGTTGTTTTAATTTTGTTCATATGTTGCCAACTGAAGACTAATCTCTGTAATTTATTATTAATGAATCATTACAATATATAATAATACAGAATATATTATTAATATGTTTGGCAATATATTAATATTATGTATTATAATTACTCATAAATTAGCAAACAATGTATTCCATCATACATATTTTACTATATGCATTGTAAATAATATGCATAATAAACCACTCTTCACTGCTGAAGTCAAACTGCAAAGTTATCCATTGCAAATTAATAATAAGAAAAATAAACCCAGTAAAATGTAAGGTGAAACAAACATTAAAAACAAAAACAAATGGGGAAAAATAGATAAAATGGGACATTAGCCACAGATTAATTCTGTCCCTTGTGTGAGGAATATAAACCCATAACTTATTGGTTACACAACAGTTAAATGTTTGCACCATTGGCTTCCTAATGGCCATGCTGTAGTTACCGCACAAAAGCTGGCTAAATCCATGTTTCAGAGAGCATGTCAAATAAAATGAGGTAGACTTTTCAGCAGGCCAGCTGGAACAAGTTGGCAACAAAATTATAAATAACTTCCCCTATGTATTTTTCTGAATTTGATCAATGGCTCAGACACCATCCTTTTCAACAGAATAAGGAAGAAGGTTTAAGCCAGCCCAAACCTGGCTAGAGGTAGATCCAAGGTGACTTTAGCATCTTGATTTCATTTGAAATCAAAGCAGCCATTCTGGAATGTGTTGTCGGTGTTCAGACAACCAATATTTGTTGGGACAAGCTGGCAAGGTTGGAACCACTGCAATGTATCCTGATTCCATTGCGATACTTGCTGGTGACTTTCAATACCAAAGTGTGTCCAAGTGACCAAATTTTATTCTCCCATTCAAATGGGGAATCTCCTGCAGCTAATAGCTTGAATTGCACCCAACCCCATAAAAGTCAAAAATTAAGAGGATTTATTATGGGGGCTGGTGGTTGATGCCAATGCTTTCAGATTCTTAAGAGGAATGCATATTTGGGTGTTGGGGTGGGGCTAGTGTCATTGAGTATGCTGCTTTCAACTTAATTTGCAGAGGTTTTTATCTTTACAACAAGCACTCCACAATTATTGTGAAAAGAGCTGACTAACTCCCGAGACATTTAGAAATGTTATCTTTGTAATTGTGCATTAAGATACACATTATTCCTCTTCGCTTCTGTACAGAAATGGAGTGAATGAATGAATTGATGAATGAATGAATGAATGAAATGGTTTAGGGTTTGGAGAAGACCCTAAGGTCCGTTCTATTCTATTCTATTCTATTCTATTCTATTCTATTCTATTCTATTCTATTCTA